AACTGGTACAAATGGTTTGACGACTTATCAAAGCTTAAAGATGTTACCTTTCAACGATGCTTGACCCCAGAAGATGTGTTGGGAAAGCCAATCCTAATAATTTTCAGTGATGCTTCAGAAAAGGCATTTGGAGCGGTGGCCTACATAAGGTGGAGATTGATGGATGGTTCCTTTGCAGTTAGGTTCATCATGGCAAAGTCGCGAGTCGCTCCAGTGAAGGAATTAACAATGCCAAAACTTGAACTGCAAGCAGCAGTAATCGCTTGCAGACTCAATCATACTATCCGAAGTGAATGCCGCTTGGAGTTTCAGAAGACAATATTTTTCTGTGATTCCATGATTGTTTTAGCTTGGATTCAAAATGAAACACGTTCCTTCAAAGTCTTTGTCTCCGTTCGTGTTGCCGAAATCAAGGTTAAATCAGACCCAGCAGATTGGCGTTATTGTTCAACTGATTTAAATGTTGCAGACGATGTAACCCGAGGTTTGTGTGTCGAAAATCTGTCCGGTCGCTGGAAACACGGAGAAGCCTTTCTTCTTCAGCAAGAAGATCAGTGGACATCAATGCAACTGAGTCAGGACAATGATGCAAATGACATGCTTATCGAATGCCGTAAAGTCAATGTTGTTGTTAATTTACCAGCCTGCTGTCCCCTGATGCAGTTTACCAAGCGATTCTCCAAGTACAGGCGGGCAGTTCGAGTCCTGGCGGTAATCCGGAGGTTTATTCACAACTGCAAAGCAAGGAAAGTTGCAACTTATCAACGTCTGTCTGGCGCATTGACAGTCGCTGAATTGGAGGAAGCAGAAACGGTTCTAGTTAAAGATGCACAGTCAGCGATAAAACCCTTAATCCAGAAGAATGAATTCAGAAATCTGGCAGCATTCATTGATGATGATGGTATCATCCGCGTCGGAGGCCGAATTGAGAACGCACCAGTTTCATATGAGACTCGACATCCACCCATTATTCCACGTTGTCACTGGCTATCTACCCTAATCGTAAGACAAGCAGTATGGACATCTCGGCGTAGCGGCAACCGCAGCAAAGACACGGAAAAGATTCTGGATCGTCGGCGTACACCACATTGCGAAGAGTGTGAAATTCAAGTGCGTCTTCTGTCGGCAGAGGGCACAGAAAAACGAAATACAAATGATGGCAAATCTCCCACCATATCGACTTGCACCATTCACACCACCGTTCTTTTATACAGCTGTCGACCTGTTTGGTCCTATCAAAGTCAAAGTTGGCCGAAACAAGACCGACAAATATTGGGGTGTCTTGTTTACATGTCTGAACGTCAGAGCTGTTTACATTGACGTTGCAACGGATTACTCGACTCCTGGTATTTTACCCGTACTGAGAAGATTCTTCTGCATCCGGGGCTATCCACGCTGTCTGAGGAGTGACCGAGGAAGTCAACTAGTAGGTGCCGAAGCCGAGTTACGGAAAGCCATTGAGGGAAGAGATACAACAGAACAAAAAAAAGATTTCCTACACGAGAAGGGTATGGAATGGAAATTTGTTACACCAACTGCCGCTCATCACAACGGATGTGCAGAGTCGCTTATTCGAGTGACCAAAGCGGCGCTCAAGAAATCGATCGGAGATCAAGTTCTCGCTCCTTTGGAGTGTCAAACGGTATTATTCGAAGCGGCAAACTTACTGAACCAACGCCCAATTGGTCGTATTCCTAATGATCCTGCAGACGGCACATACCTCAGCCCGAATGATATCCTGCTTGGCCGAGCATCGACTAACACACCCCAAGGCCCTTTCAGAGAAACGAAAAATCCACGCCATCGATATGAATTTTGTCAGCGCATCGTAGACAATTTTTGGAAAAGATGGTATCAAGATGTTTTTCCATCCATGGTTCCCCGACGGAAGTGGCATATTAAATGTAGAAATGTTCAGGTAGATGATATCGTTGTGGTCGCTGACCAGAATGCCATACGTGGGAAATGGAAGATAGCTCGTGTCACAGAAGTTTACCCAGGTGCAGATGGAAGAATCCGAAATGTAAAGGTCCGTACAGCCACGGGTGAATATTCACGACCTATCACGAAAATTGCTGTCATCCATCCAGTTGAGGGGGACGAATAAGAGATAACAAACACGGCACTGGCGAGACCGAGGTAGAGTTGTAACCGTGGCGCGGGAGGGTGAAACGTTGCGTTACAGTTTAGTAGGACTGGAAACTAAATCGGATTTTGAACGATGTGAATTAAGCGGAAAACACCACGAGTTGTTGATGTGTTTTTAAAATGAAATAAGGACAAATATAAGGACAAAATACGTTGGAAATATTACATTATTTATAATTTAAAGTGACGGTGAATGGTTGCGGGACAATTGGGTTATTATTATTCAGGATTGTGCAACTTGTAAGTTTATATTGGAATGGAGTATCTCTTATACACACTGGTATTTGTTTATATTGATAACTATATCATTATACGTAATATATGTAATTGATATCTCTTTAATAGGATTTGAATAAAGTTTAACTTTCATACGAATCGGCAAATATCCATACAAGAGAATAAACAAAAGGTTCCTAAACGCTACAGGTTGTTTCAGTACCAACCAACATACCTTTCGCCCCCTAGCACTAGGATCACCAGGCTTACCAGGCAAACCCTTTACAAAAAGAACAAATATTACATCAAAGAACACCAAAAAGGGTGTAAAAATGTCGCTAAGCCACTACCTATAGAAGGCTCCTATCAAACCGGCATGCAGGTTCATACCAAGTTCTATACAATTATACGTCATTTGTTTTTTTTAGAAATAGGCGATTTAACAATTTCTGTTCAATTGCACGCTATGGTTTCACAGTAATGCATCACAAATTAATGAATAAAAAATCCTCTAACACTCTTCTGGAATAGATCACAATTACATGCAGTAGCATGCAATAAAACACTTACTTGACTGCCGGTAGGTCCCTTCAAACCTCGCTCTCCACGTTTACCGGCTGGTCCCTACAATTTCCAAAAACAGCACCAATTAGTAACATGGCTACCTATCTTCATTTCAACAAGGTACTGGTGAGAATTATTATCCTTACACATATAGCCTATTGTATATAAATAGTGATGTTGCATGTAGTTTTAAAATAGCAATCGACGCTGTAACAGGAATGTTAAGCTTGACATTTCCTTTCGGCCAATTTTGTACAGGGTGTACATGTATCAAAAAAAGCGCAATCCTCGACTGAAATGTAAATTGCTAAACAAATAATAGACGAAAACGTTAAAGTTTACATTCATTTTAAAGCGTAGCCATTCAGCTTTCTAACAGTGGGTTGTTTCTTAAATTTGACTCATTGGTTCGCGGGTAATAATACTTTACGTTATTGCGATTGGAGATTAAAAAAATTGAGATGGAATAACAAATCGTTCTCATGAAAATAATTACATTTTTTCATTAAAACAAACAAATGTTGCATTTTATTAAATGGATTGTAACAATAAGTATAATTACGGCTTTTCTTCCACTATTTTTAACTCAGTTTGAAACTCCAAATGCGATATAATTTTGGCTTGGACCATCTAAGCTGACTGACATCAACTTGCTATAATTTCTGTTTACATTACATCGCAATTCGATGACACTCTGGCTCAGACATCAGAATGTTTTGACGATTTTTAGCATTCGTTTAGGATTTGCAAACAACCTGGTCTCTTTTAAAATACTTTTAATTTGTTCTTACGTGGTTTTCCAGATGTAGTGACCACAACATTAAAGTTTAAAGAAGAAAATTCTAACATTTAAACCGACTAAACAATAACATAGTAAACTTGCATAATTAAACAGCAACTAAAAATGATAGGTTTTACTAAATCTTTTCCTGTGCAATTATTACTAGCATTGGAGACAAGGATAATAGTTTGTTTGAAAGAGAAAAGAACAGGCTTTGAAGTAAGCCCAAAAGCGTTTAACTAGAAATAGTATTTCGAAAGTTATTAAGCACAAAAGATGAATTGCGTTTATTTTGATACACCCTGTAGAATTTGCAAATTGCGCCAGCAACAAGAATTGTAGGCTATAAACTCATCGTGTGTAACGTATATAAACTGCATTTATAGTTTCACAAATCAGCATAAATTTGAAATCCGTAAACAAATGATAATATTGAATACAAAACCCATGTGCCGTCTTATTAGAATCTCTTGTTCAGCACGTCCATAATTACCATAATACCTTGTCAAATTGTGGTCAATATTGACTTTTCCCCCTTTTGAGTGAAATTTTGATCTAAACAAGTCTGGACAAAAAATTTATCACAGCTGTAAAGAGCATCGCAAAATTAGTAGTATTCCGAAGTTTCGTTGCGAAATGTTGTAAAATGAGGATAAAATAGCCTTGCGAAGTTTGCCGTTTTTCCGTCATTTTGTATTACAAATGGGAAATTGATAATCAGTTTGATCATCTGATTATCAATTTCCCGTTTGTAATGCAAAATGACTGGAAAACGGCAAACTTCGCAAGGCTATATGATCCGCACTTTACAGCATTTCGCAACGAAACTTTGGAATATTACTAATTTTGTGATGCTCTTTCAAGCTGTGCTGAAATTTTTGTCCAGGCATATCTATATCAAAATCATACTCACTCTACATTCACTCATAAGGGGAGAGGTCTATTATAATGGCTGATATAGAATAACTGTTCGCCAGGCATTAGAACGTTCTATCGCGCATCCCAGCCGTGGGCCTTTGTAGAATTGTACGTTTTTGTTCCATTGCATGATTCTGCAGATTTCATAATTACTGCCTTGCTTGTTAGACTGTTTTGAGAATAGTATTAATTTTATAATGATTATAGTATTCATTTTAATATTTGTGATAAATCATTCAATAACAATGATTTTTTATGTAAACCAAATCATGAATGTTTTTATTCATACAGTAGTAGCAATTTTCTCATTTGTTGAAAGGTAGAACGTTCCATTCAATTCGGATGTCGCTTGTCGAATAAAATGGTTTCATCTTCGACCTCATGAAAATACTCCTACAGCATGTACTACATCTTCTCCTAGACATTCATTATTTGTAATATGTAAATTCAAAATTTTACCATGAAAAATGAAGCATACGGTATTTCTATCCTGCAACGCATGTATTATAAGAGTACCTTGTCTCCTTTGGGTCCAGGAGGACCTGGTGGACCTTGAGCTCCACGGATTCCAGGGGTACCCTTCCTTCCAGGTTCACCAGTCTCACCCGGGCTTCCATTTGTACCTGGTTGACCAGGATCTCCCATTGGACCTTGTTTACCCTTAGGTCCTCTAGGTCCTTCAACACCATTAGCACCAGGCTGGCCACTTCTACTCTAAAAACATAAATCATATGAGTTTTTACTCATATCATTTTAGTGAACTTCTCTTCAATTATTTCCCCAACCTTATTCTGGATAATTGAGGAACTCCTTTGGTTTGAAAAATTCAACTCGTCCTTATTTGATGCAATGGGAAAAGCCGTTTGTGTGCAAGTTTATGAAGGAGCATTACAAAGGCAAAAGACTCCAAAAATCTCGTACATGCACTTTGACGAAAAGTTCGAAGTCAGTAAAATTCGAAAATACCATGTAAATATTATATATGATAATCTTTAATAACATGAAAAATTTAATATCCTTGAAATTTAATATACACTATTACATTTAAATGAATACCTCTGATGTTCGTTGAAGGAATCGGCGCCCTATCGAATAAATGCGCGTGATGCACATTATGTAATTTTACCTGTAATATAACTATATACTAGAAAATACATGCATGCAGAAACCCTCGCCACAGAGTAGATACTGGATCGCCTGGCTGACAAAACCATTGCATTTCCGAACATGAAGTATCTAAAGTAGTTGTCATGGTAACACGATAATTTTTTAAGAATATTTTTACAAATGAAAAATCGCCTAAAAATATCACTTTTAATTACAAAATTATCAATTTCCCAACATATGTATGTTATGTATGTTATTATACGTAATATAAGCTTCAATTTAAGGTAAAATTCAACCTCAAACGCTTCAAAACGTTTTAAAGTGTTCTTTAATATAAAACTAAACTTTAATAATTAAATGGCTTTATCGATAAACTTTGAGTTTGCAATAAAATTATTTCAAATTCTCGCATGCAAAAAATCAATAAAATAAAAAAGGGAATCAGTATTAAAGATACACTGAAATTATATGCTGTCTTGTTTGGTTGTTTCATATACGCAAAGGCCATCGGGTTTCAAAGCAATTATAAAATGAAGATTTAAAACAAATTTACCTTCCTTAACGTCGGCTTCCTTCCTTTAGCCGATTCTTTCGCCCTTTCTTTCGGAGAAAGCTTTTGAAATTTACAAAATCTTGCAAAAATGCGAGAAAACGTGAAATATATTTGCAAGAAATTTATCAATCATCAAATCAAGAAATGTTTGCTATTTCGCTGTCGTCATACAGTCGTTATAATGCAAACTTTAAATTGGACCAATCAGTGTCCGCTATTCATGAGAGTCCGCCATATTTTTGAGATCAGTGAGGATGACCACCCACCGAAACATCGTTGGTGAGCCACGCCCGCGATCATTGATGAACTTTAGACTTCGCTAATGCTTTCGTTTCCCCGGGTGTAAATTGCCGGGGGGAATTAGTACATTTGGACGGCGCTTCGCGCCGTCGGCTCGGGGATAAGTATTCGTAATTGCAGCTAGTATTGTTTTATTATTGGCATCTTCAATGTAGAAACGTTAACGCTTCTTTAAATGTTTCATGTGTTTTTAATGCAAATTTTTGCTTTTAGAGGAGATTTTTGGCACGTGACCAAGATGGTTGCCCAATACTGTCGCACTTAACGACTCGTGAAATTCGTAAGTTGTGATTGACGAGACGTGCTTCTTATTTGTATATTACTATTAATAATTTAAGTTACATATCATCCAATTATAACGAAATAAAATTAAGAAGTGCCTGTATAAGTCCAACATCCATACGAATTGTGAAACCTAAACCTCACGAAATGCGTACGACATGTTAAATTCGTGAAATTTTACGCCCCGTGTGAACTCACAACGAATGTACCAGTGGTGGATAACTTAAGTCCTATGCACCTGGTCAAATGGTAAAACCTGAGGAAATTCGTACGACTCGTTAAATTCGTGAAATTTTACGACCCGCGTCCACTCGTGACGAACGTTTTACGAGTGGTGCCTGGTCAAATGGTCAACCCTCACGAAATTCATACGACTCGTTAAATTCGTGAAATTTTACGACCCGCGTCCACTCGTGACGAACGTTTAAGAGTGGTGCCTGGTCAAATGGTAAACCCTCACGAAATTCGTACGTCTCGTTAAATTCGTGAAATTTTACGACCCGCGTCCACTCGTGACAAACGTTTTACGAGTGGTGCCTGGTCAAATAGTAAACCATCACGAAATTCGTACGACTCGTTAAATTCGTGAACTTTTACGATCCGTGTCCACTCGTGACGAATAGAGAGTTTGAGCAGGACAACGAAGTACGAAGGCGAAGGCATACTTGACAATTTTTGCCGTCTGCACATTATCTTGCGCATACTGAGTTGGACGTCACTGGTGGTTGCCCATGTGTCGCTGTTTATGAATACTGACCATAATTCTTGCCCTGATCCAGAAAAAAACAGCGAGACATAAAACTATATCCCGCCTTTGTCCCTCTGCCTTCGTGCAGAACGAAGTTCACGACGAATTTTGCCAAAATATTCGTTGTGAACGAAGGCAGAAGAACGAAGACGGGATATGGATTCATGTCTCGCTGTTTTATCCTGATCAGGGTAAGGATTTGGGTCAGCATTCATAAACAGCTAGACATGAATCTCTAATATGTCTTCACTCCTGACCCTAAACTCAGAATGCGCAAGGTAATGCGCAAGACAGGCAAAAATTGTCAACCACGTCGTCGTCGTCCGACTTCGTTATCTTGCTCAAACTCTCTAATGTTTCACGAGTGGCGGATGACTTGAGTCCTACGCAGGTCAAATGGTGAACCCTCAAACTTCGATCGTTATTAAACTTGCAAGAACGTCGAAGACCTTGTTTCTACTTGTATATATGTTGCCGACGCGAAAACAGGAAGATTGTGATTGCAGAAAATAGGCTGTTGAGTTGGTTTTAGGAGCACAAAACGGCATGGAAATTAGATACAAATTGACGACGAACCAAGCACCTGTCACCTAACTGATAAAGTATTGGAAAAATAGCACTATTATGCAAAGATACATTTAAATTGGAAATATAAAGATTTAGTTTGAAACGAAATGATAAAATGAAAATATAGATATGTGGATACGTAGATATAATAAGCTGATTATGGATGAAATCGCAACTGAGGAAAATGCTAGCATTAATTTGCATGAACGATGCATGTCAATGTGACTGCTTACTGCGAAAAAATAATAGACAGAGAATAAAGTTGTGAGAGGAAGTTATAATTAATATAAATGCTTTCATTGGTGTAGGTGTAAGACAATTGAATTTGCAATTAGGAAGAAACTGTTGCTGTATAAATACCTACAGTATATTGTTTGTCATCTTGTTTATTCTTGAAGCCGCAATGCTTTTAGTATAACTATAATGTATAAACTAATGAACACACACACACACATTTTAAAATAACTCTCGTACCTCGTATCCCCCAGTGCGTTTTGCGTGATTTAATATAATTCCGACGAGTCGTATACTGAGTCGTGCATATCAGTATACGAATGAACATGTATATATTTAATATTTTCATACAACTGAATAGTTATTTATTGAGTGTTGAGGAACTAGGAATGAACATATATATTTTAGAATTGAGATGAAGATTGAGAAGATTCATAATCGATTATTAGGCTATAATTAATGACAATGACGGTGTAATATTTTGCGTGATTTAGTATAATTCCGGCGCGCGAGTCCCTATACTGAGCGTTAAATTAGTACTGAATGAACATGCATATTTCAGATATTCATGCACCTAAACAGTTACATTTGTCTTGAAAAACGAGGAATGAACATATATATTTGGAAGATTACACTGTATAATATTTTGCGTGATTTAATTAATATATTCATCGTGCATTTATAATTACAATTATAAATAGCGCGCTATTATACGTTGAATAAGATATATTTTTAAAGAACGAGGCATGAACATGAATATATTTCAGATATTCATACAACTGAAAAGTTACTTTTGTCTTAGACCGGGCTGTGGTGGACTTTACTACCACCTGAAGCCGGAAAAATCGGGATGGGTATTTTCAAGTAGGCACATACCTGGGTGTTTCGAAACGTGATGGTAAACGGGGGGAATCGGGTGCGTTTAGCCGCAGGGGTGTGTGTGAAATTTTGGTATTTCTGCATATAATTAATGAACTGAATTTTATTATTTAATGAACTGAAATTTGTGATATGTTATTACCACAACCTTCATTAAATATAAATTAGTTTAGAAATAATGTTTCCATTGCTTGCGGAAGTTATACATGTGTTGCTAAACAAGGTATGAAACATTTTGGATTTATTTGACCGGCGGGGGGCGGAATAACCTTATTTTAATCCTTGCCTAGAAAAAAGACTGGTTAACTCATTTCCCATGTTGAACTATTTCAGTATAATATGCTTAAATGCTGAATTGGATAAGGCTTCAAAAATTGGATTGAATTAACCGGAAACATCCGGAATCCTGACTTCCTCTTTTCCACGTGCATTGTATATGTTGCATGCTGGAATGTAAAGTCTGTAAAGACTTTAATCAAGCTTGAAATGTTTTGACGAATTCTCAATGAAAGGCGTGTATATAGTGTGCTATCTCTGATGCTTGTTTATGATTTTTGAGACTATGTCAGGGCGACTTGGTAAGCTTATTAATTGTTTTGATATTTATATTTAGACGTGGGACTAGCATGTGCCATATATGCGTTGACATTACTGGATATTAATCAATAGACAATACGCTTAAATTCAATTTATTTGTATGCAAAGTTTATCTTTTGCCTAGTAGCCTAATGGTATTCAAATGCAGTTTGAAATTTTAACTGAGATTCATTGCTACTTTGTTTTTTCGATTTCAAATGATAATTATACATAAACATTTGTGAAAGTCTAAATTTAGGCATGCGCTAAGTTTGTAATATTTGTAAAACAATAAGGGGCGGACCATTAGAAAAATGATGGGGGGGGTGGTCCATTTTCAACGTGCACGATTTTTTTTTCAAAATTTTTTGGTGTGTCGGTTATTTTTTTTTAATAATCCCTTGCTCGAATTTTATTTTTTCCCAAAAATTGCTGGCGAGCGGGGGGGGGGGGATATTTTTCCGCACTCAACAATTTTTTCAGGACAAAGAAAAATAGGGTCAAAAATATTTTTTTCGGACTAACATCATTTTAATTAAGGTATAAAACACATTTTCCCCGAAAAAACTTCTTAAAACACGATTTAGAACGCTTATTTTCCAAATTTGGGGGACATCCTTACACTGTACCTCCGATAGGCCCTGTAATTTTCCCTATTAAAAAGTCTCTGCACGAATTTTTTTTCAGACATTTTTGGTGCACGAATTTTTTTTTCTTTCTATTTTCCCTGCTCGAATTTTATTTTTGTCTCTCCCCCCATCACTTTTCTAATGGTCCGCCCCTAACTTAAAGGCAATGCTAATTTGGAATTGAAAGAATTCATAAGTGACTCACTTGCAGATATACAATAATATTAAATATTGCTGAAAAGTAAAGTCAGTTTTTCTAAAAATTATTAATGTTAGTGAGATAATTTGAATCAATTTTTGCAGATGTGGCAGACTTAAAGTGTGTGGTTCATTATGATATTGATGACGGAAAATACAGTAACATAAAACAGTTGTCAGAAGTTAACTTGGAACGAATTCAGCAAGCGAAAACTCTACGAGAATCAAAAGGTGGCTCTAACCATCACAAAAAACAGGGCGATTCTGTCCCTGAGCTAAATCAGTTCAATCCGTCGTTACACGACGTTCATCTAGAACCGTGCTATAAAAAGTTTGTTCTGATACTTTCTCAAGAAAAAAGGAAGCATTCAGAAAGCTCTCCCGATTCACAACCAAATGTAATGCGCTTAAAGCGTGGTGAATCCAGCTCTGATTGCTCTCGTAACCTTTATCCAAAGGAATGCAATTTCTGCAAAAAATACCGGGTAAAAAAGAATGGAAAGTTATATTTTCCTATCACATTAGCAACCAATATGGCTGCTGCGCAAATCAAGGAATCGGCAGAAGCGAAAGACACCAACCTCTTTTATGAAATTAGAGATATCGATTTAATAGCAAAGAGTTCAAGTATCATGACTTCTGTTACAGAGAATTTACAAGAAAAGTAGCAAATGCGAATACTAAACAGTTCGAAGACAATGATGCGAAAGGTAATTACATCACTTCACTATAACCCCCCCCCTCCTGCGGCTAAACGCACCCCCCCCGTTTACCATTGCGTTTCGAAACACCCAGGTCTGTACCTACTTGAAAATACCCATCCCGATTTCTCCGGTTTCAGGTGGTACTAAAGTCCACCACAGCCCGGTCTTTCTTGAAGAGGAGGAATGAACATAGGCTATATATTTGAGATGAAGATTTGTAATTTATAATCTCAATTGCGGTGTGAAATTTCACTTGCTTAATTACGAGTCGTACGAATTTCGTGGTCTTACTAATGACTAAAGTACAAGTCGTCAATCACGACTTTCGAATTTCACGAGTTGTTGAATGTGACAAATCGTGAAATTTCACGAATTTAACGGAGTCGTACTAGTACTAATATCGTGAAGGTGGTACTAATGCAGTAATGCATGCATGGCTAAACCACGACTCGTGTATCACGACTTTCGAATTTCACGAGTCGTTGAATGCTACAAGTCGTGAAATTTCACGAATTTAACAAGGACTCGCGTGAATCATGTACTGTACGACTTCCGAATTTCACGAGTCGTTGAATGCGACAGTATTGGACATGTTTGGATGACCAATCACGTGATCATTGTCCATTTCAAACCAATGTGATGTTGAAAATCAAAATTTCCATATTTTTACTGAAAACGCCATATTGATTATAAAGCCATATTGGTTATTCCCAACAAGTGCGTTAATTCTGGCAGTTGTTAGTATTACGTGACGTCATCATGCATGAAAGGTGGTGAACATATTAGCGGTCATATTAGAGAGGTTGTCGTGCACTTGGGTTCAATTTACATATTATTAATTATTTTAGTGTTACTACGTGAGAGAACCTACGAGAGAGAAACCGGGCAAGAAAACATACCGAGCTTAGTATAGAATGACCACGGTCAAACTGGACAGACTGTTGAATTTCAGAGCTCTCATAATAGGACTATATTCTTAGTAAATGATTAACGAAAGTGATTTAACACTTGCTGTACATGTATACATAAAGACAAGTATATAAACAGTGCCTATAAACATACTGATTCTCCTCGTGGTCCAGAACTTCCAGTTAAACCTGGTGGTCCCTAAATGAGAGAAAACTACATTTGTAGAAAAATATGAATACCAGCATCATTTTTAAGTTACTTATGAAATATATCATTAAAGGAATACCGAATGGTTTTCCGTGCAGGATTGCGTGATCCGTGCACGAGGGATGTTGCGAGACTTTCGGAAAGCTTAAAAATACACGAGCCGTAGGCGAGTGTATTTTTACGCTTTCCGAAAGTCGAGCAACATCCCAAGTACATGGATCATGCTATCCTGCACGGGAAAACCATTTGGTAATTGTTTTATAAAATTACTACAGTGAAACGACGTTTAACTTGATTAAAATTACTGATGAAATGTGCAGTTCTCACAACATTCGTGAATTAACCAATCAGAGAATCGCTAATCCACGCTATTGAAAACAACAACATATGTGAACAGAATTTGATCACAAATTCGCGAAAGTATACAGCGAAAGTATACAGCGAAAATACAGGGAGTTTTTCGATAAAATATACGAAATTTGAAATGGAAAACCCGCTAAACAGACAGTCAAAGTAGTAGTGAAGATTCTCTAGCTGAATATGTGAAGATTGCGAAGCGTTTGATCAACTTCAGTTGAAGCGAGAGATGTTGTACTTGCATGCCATGGTCTGATGAATTTCAACGCTTACGCGTTGCTGCTTGCTGAATAGCAATGTAACAATCAGAAATTTATTCATACAACTAAACCAACGTCTCATTAATTGGAAACTTACTTCAAAGTCGAAAGGTATCGTACAATGAAACTTTACAATGCGAGTATATTTGTAAAATTATATGCAATAATTTCGGTTCAGAATTTCCCGTGCAGGATTGTCTGATCCTGCACGGCTGTTGACCAATCAAATTGCGTGTTTGACTGTAGTTATTATATAATACTGGTTACTGGTTAAGGCAAAGTAAATTTGGAAATCAAGAAGACATTGCTAAAATGTGGCCTTTCCCAGCGTACCCTCTATACGTTCAAGGGTGGGTTTTGGTGAGTGGAACATCCTTTAGGGACTGGTACGTGAGTGGAACATCCTTTAAGGGACACTCTTTTAATAGAATCCATTACACAATTACCAAATTAAGGTGTATTAATACAGGTACTAAATACCGGTTTTAATGTATTACACCAAAGTTTTTTTTGGTTTTAGAGCAGTAGTTTGATATCTAAATTCCAAAATTATCTTACAAAGGTGATTTATGGTATAATGAAGCGATATTAGATGGTATGCCAAATTGAAAATGCCTCTTTTAATTGAAAATAGACCAAACAAATCCCTTGAAAGAGGTTAATAAATCATTAACTCACCGGCTGTCCAGCATCACCGGCGGCACCATTGTCACCAGTCCTACCAGGAGTTCCCTATAAATAAAAATACTGTGTAAAAAAAATCCTGTTTTGCTTCAGGAGTTTTAGAACACATCCTTCGAATACGTCAATTGCTGGTTACTTTGCCCAATTGGATGATGCATGCATGTGTATACGTACGTCTACTGTAGTACAACACTGCATTGATGCTGTATGTATTGCATACATGCAAATAATGTGCCTATGCACAGGGATTCAAATTTATATATAAGCAAATTTACTAAAATATTTGAGTACTTTTACACAGAATTTTGTGTCGCTGTGGATGCATTATTTCACTCAAGTTTTTGAGATAAATAAGTCAGAAACTTTTTTCAGCGTTTATGTCAAATATTTCCAAATTATACATTATTCGTCGTATTTTTGAATTGTTCATTCATTTTCTAGTTTTCATTATTCTTTATAGATTCCTTTCCACTATAACTTCGTCTTGTTTAACAATGTCTGGAGGCATTCTTTAAAGCTATTTCTAATGAATAATATTACCAGTAAGCTAGAGCGTGTAAGTACGGTTTTGTTCACAACTATTACGGGAGCTGAAACACAAATTGTTTACAAATACAAGTATTTTCGTTGTTCTTTGGTCATTTTTGAATTTGGTCTGTTATAGTAATACGCTAAAACAATAATTCACCTCAGTGTTGGTGAGTAGTGCAAGGATATTCACCTCAACCCTTCGCGTGTGGTGCATTAATTTACTTGCACTATATCACCAACATGCACTGAGGTGAATAATTGTTAATTATTGCTCTTCCATCCCCAACTGTAATTTATCTTGACTTGAAATGATCCTAGAGAAGAGGCAGTTTATCAAGAGATCAACATGCGTTAAATTAACATACTTGCATGGTCACTTGGAAGTGAATTTAGCCTTTGAGATTACTCGGTGAACACAGCTTCAGTTTCAAGTATGCCTCGTTAGTGATGTTAGAATTAGCTGGTTTTATCTTTTCATTTCCAGTCAATTAACGATTTCAAACTATTATACATCCTGAAACAAACAACTTTCCAGCACATCTCCAAATTAATCTTCTTTCCCATAATAGTTGTAGAAATAACTTACCGCAGCTCCATCAGCACCGTTGCTTCCGCTCGCGCCTTTTTTACCCTTTAAAAAATAAATATCATTTTAGGCAATCCACAACAGTGATAAAATAGTGTAACATTTGAGTAATATATCTAAGTCGAACCAATTTATGTTCATAAGTTAACCATGCATGTTTTTCTTTTTTTCCTCAAGGGCCTGTTCATAATTATGAGCCCAGAAAGAGATCTGCATGCCCTTTAATTGTTAACGCATATAAAATTCAACTTGTGTTCATATGAGGAACAAGCCAGCCCGACTAGGTGAGATCTCTCCTTGTCCTAGCGGCTAGGTGGGTTCGCTAGATGTATCAACTTTCTGTCCCAATAAAATTATTACTAAAAATCACGGCTTAAAAATTATAATGATTATATTTTTATCTCAGCTTAGTTGATGCGAAAAAGCTGGTTCAGTTCTACTGAAGTGTGCCAGAGGTCGTCAGCTTTTCAAATATATAGTTGCCAATGAATAGTGAACTGAAGCAAGGCTTACTAATCCAGTGCGGGGACGTGACAAAAACAGCCTTACATTTTACACTTTTATAATTATATATAGGACTACTGTTATTAAGAACGTCAAGAAGCAGGACAAAAGTGAAATGAAAACGCCTATTAATGTAATACTAATACAAGAAAACGAACAGAAATTAGCAGGTAAAATCCTACGTGAGTTTTAGACGTCGCCATGCATTGCTCTTTTTACAACGGCAAAATACAGTTGATAATCACGTCTTCTATACAACGCGTGCATTTCAAACTGCTGAAAGTAATACTTTCAATTGGTTCCTAGAACCATTCTCAAACACAAACCCTGTGTTAACCTTGATCCTTAAACTGTATTATTTTCATACGATTCATGGATAAAGTTTTTCTTCAGTAATCATTTGGTTCAACTGGTTTGTTTACCGTCGCCGTCGCGTTCCCGTTCCACATGCTTAAGGTCGCTAATATAACCTGCGCAATTTAGTCATGCCGCCACGCCTTATACTCTGTCTGAGCGAGGGTCCTACATTCACATATAAGACAAGCAACCGTTTCGTCTCTTTCTCTACATAGTATGCCCGGGATCGAGATAATCTCTTCGTCGGTTTATTAGTATTATTATTATTAATATTATTGTTGTTATTATAATTGAAGGAACACATACTTTAGCTCCCATATCGCCTTGTGCACCAACAGGACCTTTAAGACCTGCATCTCCCTGGAAAAGTAAAATCGATGTTCCTGAACCACTTGAAATTGTGCTATAAATATTCATTAGCATATTTCAAGCGCAGTTCTGGAAAAAAACATAAATGAGCAAACTTGTCGATCTTCATAATCATATGCACTTAATATAAAAGATATTTAGATGTGCCAATTAATGTTAATCGGCACGTTTCCGAGCCCGCCTGAATTCTCCTCGCCGACGTGCAAGTGCAGATATGTAACCACAAAATTTAAATAAATAAATTCAAGTCATTCAAGACGGCCGCAAAAACAAAATGCATTTGATTATGGTGAAAACTAAAAAGTAAAACTTGGCAGACGAGACATACTGTATATCACACCGTCTTCTTACTTGTTTGTTGAAGATAAGATATAAATATTTATTTTCAAAACGATTTTGTACATGTATTAAAAAAATTACTCTAGTCATGAGATCGGCTACAATGTGGCCGTTTCCTCGTAGACATTGCAAGCTGCACCAAAAGTAGTACCAAAAGTTCGACATGTCACTAAAAAATCACCATGTGCTATTTTACATCATCTCTTGGTGGAAGTCGCCTATTTCCTTGACACGTCTATTACATCATCAATTTTGTAATTTGCCGATTACGCAAGTAAATAACAATAGCCAAAAAAGAATTGCCAGATAAACCTTGAACGTATAAATTTAACGACTGTTAATACTTACAGCTTCTCCAGATTGACCAACATCACCAGGATCACCGTCATCACCATGAGTACCCTAAATCAATTCCAAAATAATGATTAATACATTATGACAAATTAAACTATGTATATTTTGAACTACCGATTTCTAATATATATAACGATTAAAGTAGGTATGTTGTTTTGCATTCTATGGACTTTATTTTAATTAATGTACTATTTAAAACATGAGCAGTAGTGTTTTATCAGATATAAAGGTACGAGGCGTTTTAAATTGCTTCAAAAACGATCGATCTATAGTAAGTCGAGTCAATCAAAGTTAAAGTTTATTTAAATCAAGGGGAAAACTCTATTACATACATATCAAGATACGACACGCTTATGATTTTTCTTTGTGTTTTCCTCATGAATTATTAATGAGTTTTTGAAGTAAAATTCAACACCAAACGCTTGGTAAAACTTTTTAAATGTTGACTGAAATAAACTGCTCTTTGCCGATGAACTCTTTAATTACTCGTACTTTCAAATGAAAATAATTTGCTATCTTTTTTTGAGCTTTAGAAAAAACCCTTTTAGAAAAATGAACAGCAAATTCATACATGAACAGCAAAAACAAACTTCAGGATTTTCCATACTTATCGTTTCTTTAAAATTTGAAAAAGGTGATTTACAACATATTGTGTGAAACGATTTCCAAGCTTTCTGTCATTATTTTTAAGTCTTCGCTTGCTTTACTCCTGGAGAACAGCTATATTTTTGAGATCGGTGAGATGACCACCCATGCAGAGCTATGCGGCCGCGATTACTGATGAACTTTAGACTTCGCTAATGCTTTCTTTTCTCTGTGTGTAAATAGCCGAGCCGAATTAGTACCCTCGCCACGGTCTTCGTCCTACGCACTACGCGCGTGACTCGGGCATTCTCAAAGTGGACTCGCACGCTCAACGTGGACTCGGTTCTAGCCAACCCAATCCCCAGGGCCTTCGTGCTGAGAAGGTCCTGGCATCGGCCAGAAATTGACACCCCAAATTTTGGGGATTAGATGGAAAACACGGAGTCGGAGTTCCGGAGTCGGAGTCCCGGAGTCGGAGTCCCGGATTCTGACGTCATAAAAATATGGAAAACACGGAGTCATATGGAAAACACGGAGTCTGACGTCATAAAAATATGGAAAACACGGAGTCATATGGAAAACACGGAGTCTGACGTCAGAGAAAAAAATGGAAAACACGGAGTCATATGGAAAACACGGAGTCCACCATAAAATATGGAAAATACGGAGTCTGACGTCAGAGAAAAATATGGAAAACACGGAGTCTGACGTATTGTCAGCGTGAAATATGGAAAATAGTAATTAAATAATATATAATTTATGCGAATATAAACAAACGGACGAATTAATATAATGAATTAGAAATTTTCTGCAACTAATTCTGGTTATTTCTCTAAAATGTCGTAAAAATATGGATTATTTATTTTTAAATACAATCAAGCAAATAATATTGTTTCTCTTGTCGTGTGACTTGTTCAGTTGTACAATATTTGAAGTGATTTTAATGCGGATTTTGTTCACCTCGTATGGTATGTTCATTGATATAAATGTAGTTTATATACTTAATACTGCTAGAATATTGCATAGTCGATTTACATGTAATATTAACACACAAAATCTTGAGACAAAACAGATATGCTGCTTGGAAACAGCATGCAATATTGTTATTTACTAATAAATAGATGCAGCCAGCCAATACACAAATCCGTGCAGTATATTAATGGCATTAAAAAAGTTTTCAGGTGTCCAAAAAAATACCTGCACTATAGTGATAAGTCCATACCAAGTTAATATCTCTAACATATAAGTTTTAGGTTTTTATGCTGAATTAAATATCATATGCAATATCATAAGTTGCAATTAATCAAGCCATTGATATTTGAGTGATCAAGATAGGTATTTATAACTGACCATTTGTTCCAGGCTTAATTGCATGATGCCATTGTAAAATCGTCTGGCGTTAGGCAGAGTAAAATATAAAGTAGGGTACATCTGGGCACATATATTGCCACTTAATTAAAGGGTTAATATAGAAATTTTGTATTTCATAAAGTATTACAATGCTTTTGAAAGGGATAATTTTAAGTGAAACCCATCTGTTGTGGACTTAAAAGTAAAATTGTGAACTGATAATGCAGAACCACTGGTAGCTAGGGATTGTGGGGCACTAAATTTACTGTTTTCATAGATTTTTGTCCAAGCAATTAAGCTAGTTATAAAGAACAGAATAATAGTGTTGCCACATTCATGTAGTTCTATAGGCAAATGGTTGATTTGTCAAATATCTATTATGGATTGTTTCATTATAAACACTGGAATGCTCATACTGGATGGTTGTACAATAAGTAAAATTTGCCTTAGTAAATTTAGTAAGCCAGTATCTAGGCTGGCTTGCATTACATATAAACATCCCCTATAATCCTACTATAGTTGGAAAATAGATGGAAATAAGAAGTAAAACAAATCTAGAATGAAATATATTTCCCTTCAATATATGCCGCAATTTGTAGTTATAGTTGTATATATAGGCACAAAAATGGCTGAATTAGTTTAAAATTCAATAAAATGTCATTGTGTTGACATGAAAATATTCTACCAACTGTTTTTGTAGCCATAGGTGTTAATTTAAACCGTGCAATTAATGCTCAATATATCTACATAGATTCATAGTGACATACAAGTCTATGCCACAACACCACTGCAAATCTGCATTCATAGTTCGTACGATTAAGCATCTCATTTCAGCCATTTTTGTGCCTATATATACAACTATAACTACAAATTGCATATATTGAAGGGAAATATATTTCCTTCTAGATTTGTTTTACATCTTAATTTTTTCCAACTATAGTAGGATTATAGGGGATGTTTATATGTAATGCAAGCCAGCCTAGATACTGGCTTACTAAATTTACTAAGGCAAATTTTGCTTATTGTACAACCATCCAGTATGAGCATTCCAGTGTTTATAATGAAACAATCCATAATAGATATTTGACAAATCAACCATTTGCCTATAGAACTACATGAATGTGGCAACACTATTATTCTGTTCTTTATAACTTAATTGCTTGGACAAAAATCTACGAAAACAGTAAATTTAGTGCCCCACAATCCCTAGCTACCAGTGGTTCTGCATCATCAGTTCACAATTTTACTTTTAAGTCCACAACAGGTGGGTTTCACTTAAAATTATCCCTTTCAAAAGCATTGTAATACTTTATGAAATACAAAAATTCTATATTAACCCTTTAATTAAGTGGCAATATATGTGCCCAGATGTACCCTACTTTATATTTTACTCTGCCTAACGCCAGACGATTTTACAATGGTATCATGCAATTAAGCCTGAAACAAATGGTCAGTTATAAATACCTATCTTGATCACTCAAATATCAATGGCTTGATTAATTGCAACGTATGATATTGCATATGATATTTAATTCAGTATAAAAACCTAAAACTTATATGTTAGAGATATTAACTTGGTATAGACTTATCACTATAGTGCAGGTATTTTTTTGGACACCTGAAAACTTTTTTAATGCCATTAATATACTGCACGGATTTTTGTATTGGCTGGCTGCATCTATTTATTAGTAAATAACAATATTGCACGCTGTTTCCAGCAGCATATCTGTTTATGTGTCAAGATTTTGTGTGTTAATATTACATGTAAATCGACTGTGAAATATTCTAGCAGTATTAAGTATATAAACTATATTTTTATCAATGCATCAACATACCATACGAGGTGAACAAAATTCGCATTAAAATCACTTCAAATATTGTACAACTGAACAAGTCACACGACAAGAGAAACAATATTATTTGTTTGATTGTATTTAAAAATAAATAATCCATATTTTTACGACATTTTATAGAGAAATAACCAGAATTAGTGCAGAAAATTTCTAATTCGTTATATTAATTCGTACGTTTGTTTATATTCGCATAAATTATATATTATTTAATTACTCTTTTCCATATTTTTCTCTGACGTCAGACTCCGTGTTTTCCATATTTTATGGTGGACTCCGTATTTTCCATATGACTCCGTGTTTTCCATATTTTTCTCTGACGTCAGACTCCGTGTTTTCCATATGACTCCGTGTTTTTCATATTTTTATGACGTCAGACTCCGTGTTTTCCATATGACTCCGTGTTTTCCATATTTTTATGACGTCAGACTCCGTGTTTTCCATATGACTCCGTGTTTTCCATATTTTCCTCTGACGTCAGACTCCGTGTTTTCCATTTGACTCCGTGTTTTCCATATTTTTATGACGTCAGACTCCGGGACTCCGACTCCGGGACTCCTGGGACTCTATTAAGGACCGTCACGTTCTGTTGTCCTTACCATCAGTCATTTGATTGTAAAGTTAATTTTAAGAAAAGACTTGCATTCGCGACCCAACGTTTGGACACTTTTATTTCTTAAGAATCAGTGAACAAGTCAAATATGTCATGTCAATCATATCGCACAGGGTTTGCAATTTGGAAATCACTGAATTCATATCTCGATTCAGTTGATTGTAATGTCAGAACCATGGCCCCAATATGGCCGCTTGAAGTCTGTCCATGCACTCTTGAAAACGGTCTGCACCAGTGTAGGTAGCAATGAGAATAAATAGCACTATTTATACAAATTGATAAAATATATATGCAGAACTTTGTCGTTTGGAGACAAGGCCCTTTGTCGGGACGTTAACACTTCATAATGGTTGCAAAACTAATGAAAAGAGGTGTGAAAAGAAGGACGTAGAAAACAACACTTTTGAAATTCAACCGTATGAATATTCACATCACATTTAGTTATTATTACGAAAACTTGAATAAATTGCTGCAATTTTATGTACAAATGATTGAATAAACAACAAAATTAATATTACAGACATCTATTGAATGGTAAACGTCAATTAAAATATTTATGTGTTTAGATCCTATAAAATTGATAAACTATATGATTAACATTGTGAAGTGGCGGCGAAACTGTTTTTATTTAGGGTCAATTTTCAGCTAAGTAGTGGATGTCGTGGTTCTCAGCTAAATGTAAACTGACTATACGCAATTACTAACATTATAAAAAAAAAACTAAAAAAAAACGCTGCAAAAAATGCTTCGTAATTGGATTTGATCAGTTTAGAGGACATAGTGGGGGCTGAAATCGACAGCAAATTAACATCAATTTAACTACTTGGCGAAAACTATATCCCAGTTCAAATTCACTTTAGGTGTACGTCAATCATTGACCATAATGTCGCTAATTTTGTTCACATTAGGGCCATTCACAAAGGATGTCCGAGCCGACGGGGGAGGGGGGTTTGGAAAATCAGGACAAACTCGGACATAGGGGGGGGGGGGGGGCCAAAATTTTAAAAAGTTCAAAAACAAATTTCTTTTCCCTCTATTTTGAGCAGTCCTTCCCATTGTGAAATTGGCATTTTGACTATGCGGTTAACACTAGATTTTGTTTTAATTAGTAATTTATATGTTTTTGTGTTCACATTTACAGTTATAAAAAGTTCTAAAAGTAAAAAAAAATATTTTACTCTTGATATATACAAGGTTGTGTGAGTTTTTGCGAGGCATGGCGGTTGTCCGGGGGGAGTGGGGTCACTAATTCGGACAATGCCGGACAAGGGGGGAGGGGGGGTCTGAAAATCCATAATTTGGCCGGACATCCTTTGTGAATGGCCCCTTACATTTCATGCAGCAATCTCGAAACTTCATTTTACTGTTTTACTTTGATCCTTTTCGTTTCGTTTCGTGAACCGCCAGGATCACCAGTGACAATCAGTGTCATCATTTTCAGCACGCGTTACATCTGGTAAATATGAGACGAGATATTCACCACGCGAAACACGCTTTCAAACGCGCGTCCCAAACTGATACTTAAAAAACCATATCGCGATTATCGTCTAGAATATTATTTAACAATTATTCGCCGAAAGTGAGGTGATTATCGGGGAAAATTCGCCGAGAAGAAGTCGAGGTGAATATCCCCTGGTAATTACCGAGCCTGAGGCGAATAATTGTTTTAGTATTTTTGCACAAGCTTTTTTGTGTTTTCTGGTCTGAATACATTTTAATTTCGCTTATTTCTTTGTCACTAACTTCAACAAAACGGCTAGCCGCCATTTTGAAAGTTTTGATTTTGTTATATTCACCTGTAGGTGAATATAACAGATTAATACGTAAAATTTGACCAATCAACGTGTAGGATTTGTTATGTTCACTTGTGCAAAAATAGTAATACACAATATTCGCAATGAATGCAAAAGCGCAGTTTCAACAGTAAAAACATTAACAAAACGAGCAACACCAACAACTAATACGATATATTTTATATCTGATTGCCAACAACAAATTAATCTAAATACCCGACTCATTTTGTATGGTACATATAGCTTTAATCATTGAATCATATTTTATTAACTGTCCACTGCGACATCGGCAAAGCAAACGAAAATGCTTCAATTGTGGAAACAACTATCCTCATTTGCTGTAGATGGAATATGCCCGGCAAAAGGGAAAGCTTTTAGATTGTGTCAGAAAATGAACCACTTCGCTCGTTGTTGCCGGTCTACAAATCGAAATATTAAACGCGATAATAGTGTCAATCATGCCAAAGCTGAAAATACTACGCAGCGACAAAAACAAGATACTACAAGCGCAAATAAAATCGAGCAGAGCAACCAACACCCGGTAGATTCGAGTTCTGACGACGAATACATATTTTCGCTTGGAATATAAAAACACATGCAATTAAATCCAAAGTTAAAAGCCTCAAAGTTCACGTAAAAATCTGAAACATGCCAACAGAAATTATGATCGACGCCGGTTCAAGTGTTGACATTATTGACGAACACGCCCTTTTACGAATGCAAAAATATTCACGCAAGACAAATCAGTCCCCCATTACTTTATATAAGACAAACACAAAGGTATACAGATACGGCGCGAAAACACCTCTGCCTATCGTTGGAAAATTTGACGTCGAAATAGAATCGTCGACTCAGTATTGTTGTGACCACAATATATGTAATGCAAGGGACATGTAGTTCGTTCCTTAGCTACGAGACAGCCTTAGCCTTAAACCTTATCAAGTTAACTATTAATGCAACAGAAAATCAACAACCGGAGGTTCAAGAAAAAAACAAACTGAAACAATCACTAGACAAATACAATGATAGATATCATGGAGTTGGAAAATTAAAAGACTGTCAAGTTCATCTTCATATCAATGAAACTGTTACACCTAGTGCCCAACCACACCGAAGAATCCCGTTTCATCTTCGAAAGGGACTTGAACAAGAATTAATACGATTAGAACATGAAAGCAGAATAGAAAAAGTATATGGTCCAACCCCATGGGTGTCTCCACTACTTGTGGTACCCAAACCAAAACATCCAGAAAAGGTACGCCTCTGTGTTGACATGCGCGTTGCCAACAAAGCGATAGACAGAGAACGACACATTACACCTACTATCGATGACCTTATTAACGACTTAAATGGAGCAACTCTTTTCTCCAAGCTTGATCTAAACCAAGGCTACCACCAGCTAGAACTTGCGCCTGAATCACGGTACATAACAACATTTTCTACACACAAAGGTCTGCAACGCTACACAAGATTGCTTTTGGAGTTACCTCAGCAGCGGTAGTGTTTCAAACAACCATACAGCAAATCCTCGAGGGCATACCAGGCACGAAACATAAGTGATGATATTATCATATAAAGCAGCGATCAGGAGTCACATAACCATGCTTTGGAAGCAGTCCTCTAACGCCTGCAAGAAATGAACTTAACCCTCAACCCGACTAAATGTGAATACAACAAGCCATCCGTAGAATTTTATGGTTATATCTTTTCTAAAGGCGGTGTGTCTCTAGATCCAAAGAAAGTCGAAGCCTTCCAACAAATCAGTGCTCCACAGAATCCAACCGAAGTGAGAAGCCTACTCGGGATGGCGAATTATTGTTCACGTTTCATCCCCAACTATTCAACGATAACTGAACCTCTACGCTAACTCACCAAATCAAACGCCACCTGGCAATGGACATCAGCACAACAAACGGCTCTGGACACATTAAAGAAACACCTTACCGATGACAAAACCATATCATATTTTAACCCAAAGAGCGACTCCACCTTGATTGTCGATGCCAGCCCTGTAGGTCTTGGCGCAATTTTCATGCAAAAAAATTCCAAAACGAAAGAAGAAAAAGTTAACGCCTTTGCTAGTCGTGCGTTAAACCCTGTTGAACAACGATATTCGCAGACCGAAAAGGAAGCTCTCGCTATTCTCTGGGCATGGGAACATTTCCATTTATACGTCTACGGTTCTCATTTTACAGTGATTACAGATCATAAACCTCTTGAGCAAATCCATGCAAATCCTCGATCTCGATGTTCAGCACGTCTTGAACGATGGTCACTGAAACTTCAGCGATATGACTTCACTGTTAAATATCAGCCGGGGAAATCAAACCCAGCTGATTAATTACATGTCCCGCCACCCACAGCCATCTTCACCATCAAACCACTACTCCAAGATAGCAGACGAATATATATGCTTTGTCGTCAAAAACAAAATATGATGTCAAAACAGCGACAGCCAACGACCCAACATTACAACACCTTACCAATGCAATCCGAACAGGCAACTGGACTGTTACTCCAATCCAACTGAACAATGGCGTCGACCCACAGGAAATGAATGCATACTTCAAGCTTCGTAATGAAATAACAGTATCCAATGAAAATTATTTGCTTCTGAAGGGAACCCGAATCATTCTACCAGCACCACTTCGCTCACATGCGTTATCACTTGCCCATGAAGGACATCAGGGTTTGGTAAAAACTAAACGTCTGCTAAGAGAGAAAGTTTGCTTCCCTGGAATAGACGCTCAAGCAAAATCAATTATAGAAAAGTGCATACCATGTCAAGCAGTGACACCCACCAAACATCACGAACCTCTACAAATGACGAAACTACCCGATGGACCCTGGCAGAAACTTTCATCAGATTTTGTGGACCTCTACCAACCGGTGACTATCTACTCGTAGTTATTGATGAATATTCTCGGTATCCGGAAGTAGAAATTCCAAAATCCACCTCAGCAAAGGCAACAATACCAAAGTTTGACAAGATTCTTTCCACCCATGGCATTCCGATAGAAATAAAAACTGATAACGGACCCCCTTTTAATAGTCAAGAATTTAAGGAATTTTTAGAAGAACTAGGGTTCAGCCACCGAAAGATTACTCCACTGTGGCCCAAGGCAAATGCCGAAGCAGAGAGATTTATGCGAACTTTAAGCAAAGCAATTATCACTGCACACACTGAGCAGCTCAATTGGAAATAACAGCTGTATCGTTTCCTGCGCAACTATCGCGCAACTCCGCACGCAAGTACCGATAAAACACCAGCGGAACTATTATTTGGTAGAAAGATGAGAATAAAATTGCCAGAAGTTTCCCCAACTGTTATTGATTCTGACCTCAGGTGTAAAGTGCGGCCGCTAAAAGAAAAATGAAAGAATGTGCCGATGACAGAACAATGCGAAACCAGCGACATTTCAGATTGATGTGCTAGTACGATAGCGAAAGCGTAACAAATTCTCGTCGTACAACAATCCCATACCATTGTATTGTATTGTGAACTTTATTTAGTCACGGTGGACTCATCAGGATTTTACACACTTATGATAAAGTAACAAAGGAAATTAGATATATGATAAATTATACTATACATATTTACAAAACTACCTGTTTTTCATGAGTGCCGTGCATTAAATTGATAAAATTAGATAAAATATTTAAAAATTATTGAATAAAGTTGCTACAGTCAGACTTAAATTTGTGTAAAGTACTAGCCTGTCTTAACTCAGTAGGAAGAGAATTCCACAGTACTGCACCGCTATAACTAAAGCTATTTTTCAAGTAATCAGTACGCGGTAGTGACAAAGCTAGTTTGTTACTGGTGTCTCTCAAAGCATAATTTGTGATACTATTGCGATCAACAAACATATTAGAAAGATAATCTGGAGCAAGACCATTCAAGGATTTATACACCATGATAGCCTTGGTAAGCCTACGCTGAGATACAAGATTTTTCCATCCAAGACTTTCGAAAAGATAATCGGCATTTGTATCATAACTAGAAGATGTCAATACCCTGGCAGCACGATTTTGTAATTTTTGCAATTTGGTAACTAGATAACTACTGCAACTATCCCAGACAGCAGAGCAGTAGTCGAAATATGGTTGAACTAAGCACTTGTAAATAAGTTGCATTGTGGTAAAAGGAACATAAGGTCTAATGCGTTTTAGTGCACCAATACCGGAAGCAACTTTTTTACTCAGTTTCTCAATATGAACATTGAGAGACTTGTTTAACTGGAACGTTATTTATTACTAATAAAGGAGTAGATTGAAAAGTATTTATTCTTTGGCGAGCGCCAATTAGCATAAATTCAGTTTTAGTCTGGTTTAAAGTAAGTTTGCTTGCTGACAACCATTCACTGACATTAGCAAGATCCTCGTTAACATTATGATTAATTTCATGTATGTTATTACTTGCATATGTCAAATTAGTGTCATCAGCAAACATTCGTGCCCGAGAGTATATTAGACAATTAGGAAGATCATTAATATAGATTAAAAATAAAAGCGGGCCTAATATAGTTCCCTGAGGAACCCCACATTGTAGTAATCGATTCGAGGAGAAATGACCGTTAACAAAACACTTTTGATTACGTTCATTTAGATACGATCTTAACCAGTTACCCGCAGTTCCCTTGATTCCATATGCATTAAGTTTGTTCAGCAATATTTCATGATCTACAGTGTCGAACGCTTTTTTAAGATCAAGAAACATTACAGCATTTACATTACCACTGTCAATATTATAAGCCCATTCGTTGGTAGCCTCAAGAAGAGAGGTGACAGTAGAATGTAGGCCTCGAAATCCCGATTGATAATTAGTTAATAATTCATTTTCAGCTATAAATGTATATAGCTGATCATAAATTACCCTTTCAAAAACCTTAGCCACAATAGGAACAATAGAAATGGGACGATAGTTATCAACGCAATTGCGTTTGCCTTGTTTGTATATAGGAATAACTTTAGCACATTTCCATTCGTTTGGGAATATGCCTGTAGTGATAGAACGATTAAAAATAAGACAGAGGGATTCTGCAATTAAGTCAGAGCATTCTCTAATTAACCTAGAAGATATTTTGTCTAAACCTGTTGCTTTAGAAGTGCTTAACGTGGACAGTAATGCGTAAACGGTTGGAATACTTATTTCTCTCAGTTGAAAAATAGCATTATTTTGGTTAGGTAAATAATCAAGATAAGACCGATTGCTATAATTAAGATTAATTTTATCTGCAAGGTCTGGTCCGATGTTTGAAAAGTGATCGTTAAACGCATCAGCAATTTTGCTAGGGTCATTAATTAATACGCCATTCAAATCAACCTCGCCAATGTGAGGGCTTTTCCTATTCTTAGAAGTAAGTTCATTAATGATCTTCCAGGTCTTATTAGGATTGTCTTTATTATCATTGAAAGAATTTTTGAAATAGGCTTGCTTTGCGTAGAAGATTTCAGAATTAACAAAATTACGTATTTTCTTAAAAGAAAGCCAATCTTGAGTATCGTTGGAACGAATTGCTTTAATTTTTAGGACATCTCGCCTATGCATTTTATCTTTCAAAAGAGATGTGATCCAAGGCGATTTAATAGCCTTAACGCGCTTAGCTCGAATTGGGGCGTGCTTATCTGCGACAGAATTGAATGTGGCTTTCCAAGCATGCCACATGTCATTAGGGTTTTCGTACTGATTGATATAGTTCCAACTCTGTTGACTAATATCATTACGAAATTTAGTAGAATCAAAGTTTTTAAACTTTCTGTAGTTTATTGAAGAATGTACCCCCGTCGATGAACCCACAGAAAGTTTGCGAAAGGCGTAAATAAGACTATGATCGCTTATACTCACATGAGAAACACCAGAGCAAACAACCTTGTCAGGAGTATTTGTGAAAATATGATCTAACAATGTTGAGGAGGAGTCTGTGATTCGAGTAGGTTCATTTATAAGCTGAGAAAGATTATATAAATCGGCAATATCCATGAGTGACTTCGTATCATGATCTAAGACTGTAGAGCTCAAATCACAGTTGAAGTCGCCCATGAGGTAATACTCGATATTTTCGGAATCGAGCATACCTAGAAGAATTTCAAAATAATTAAACATTGCTACAGGCGAATTAGGAGGCCTGTACCAAGTGGTAATAAGAAAAGGCTTGGCTCTAGGTTTATTAACTGAAATACACAGGTTTTCCAATTGCTCAAAAGATAGATCATGCCGAACTGAAAAATTTATACAGCTACGAATATAAAAACAAACCCCACCGCCAAATCTACCATTGGAATCTCTATCTCGCCTAACAATTTTGTATCCAGGTATATGTACTTCGTTGTCACCAACCGTAGAGTCAAGCCTTGTCTCATTAATAGCCAGTACATCAATCACATTATTTGATAGATAGATTCTAAGCTCATCAATATGTTTGACTAAACTGGTGATATTAAGTGAGGCAAGTTTAAAGTCACTCCTGTTTGGCAAGAGCAGGTTTTGAATGTTAGAAGTAGTTTGCATAGTCTTAGATTGAACATTATTTACTGAATTAGCAACTCTAGACAACGTAATATCATGTCAATTTTCTAAGTTATTTATAAACTCTTTGAAATTGTTTTGGAGGGATATACCATACCACATAGTTGCAAAAAAAGGCAGCATGATTCCAGCTGAAAATGCCAAACACAAGATAACAAGAAATTCATCACATTTTAAGAAGATAACACGACCGTCCACTTGGGGATCCACTATGAATGACGATGATGGTGAAGACCAGGATATTCCAAACAGTGATATTGAAGAACCAGGGATACAAGAACAACCACAAAGACGATATCCTTTAAGATTAAATCGGGGACAACCCCCTAACCGCTTTAGAGTACAACAGTAGCAGTAGCATAAACCTAAGTCGAAGCGAACTATTATAGAGACTACAAAAAAAAATAATCCAGAACACGCACACTGTACTTAGAGTATATATATATATATATATATATATATATATATATATATATATATATATATATATATATATATATATATATATATATATATATATATATATAATTCCAAAGTAAAAAATTTTAAAGATTTTTTCTGTATTTTGCGGAAATTTTAATTTTTCTCCGAAAAATCACGAGTTTTTACTGGAGAATGCTAAAAGAAGGCAAATTCATCACATTTTCGATTAGAAAAGATGAAATGTGCGGAAAAGGTTTGAAACCAAAGTTCTAAAACTATTCCTAAAATTTGTTCCCCTCCATCCTGGCTGATTTTCTGGATACATATATAATAAAAATTGCTTGATTTTGCGTCCACTGATTTTTCTGCCGCCGAAAACAACACGACCAGAAAAAGTACATATAAACCACACGTAATTGATTTAATAACATCAATCTGCGGAATGTTTACAAAGCGAAAGTATTTTCGCAAAAACCCTATTATAATGAAGAAAATAATGCAAGCTATGAATTTTAAGAAGGTTCAGAATTTCTGAACCCTGCATCTCTAATTGAAAACTAGAAAATTAGCAGATATGGCAGATAAAAATTCACAAAGAAGGTTCAGAAATTCTGAACCCTGTATCTCCTGCAAAGTGAATAATTATGAGCAAATGCCAAACAAAAATTCATTAGAAGGTTCAGAAATTCTGAACCCTGTATCTCCTGCAAGGTGAATAATTATCAGCGTATGCCAAACAAAAATTCATATGTAGAAGGTTCAGAAATTCTGACCCTGTATCTCCTGCAAAGTAAATAATTATCAGTATATGCCAAACAAAACTAATTCATATAGAAGGTTCAGAAATTCTGAACTCTGTATCTCTTGCAAAGTAAATAATTATCAGCATATGCCAAACAAAAATTCATATAGGAGGTTCAGAAATTCTGAACCCTGTATCTCTTGTAAAGTAAATAATTTTCAGCATATGCCAAACAAAAATTCATATAGAAGGTTCAGAAATTCTGAACCCTGTATCTCTTGCAAACTAAATATAGAAGGTTCAGAAATTCTGAACCGTGCATGAATCTCTTGCAAACTAAATAATTATCAGCATATGATAAACAAAAATTCATATACAGAAGGTTCAGAAATTCTGAAAACTAGACAATTAGCAGAATAGGACAGATAAACATTCATATATGTAGTGTATAGAGGGTTCAATATTTCAAATACTATTGGTATTTTTTTTGCAGTTTGCTCTGATCATCAAGGTGGAACTCTCTTATCATAATTGATTCTTTGGGCAAGATCGATGTCTATATATATCCATGGTGTGGTGTCCCTACCAGATTTTGCCATATAGGATTCATAAGATTTTGCATAAGAGCCTTTCCAAAAGTGCATTGAAAATTCATTTTCTTTCACCACTTTACCAAGAATGGGTAATACTTGCAGTTGATCAGAAGGACAGCCACAAAAACACCAGGAACCAATGAAAGCAGCAAGGAAATTGTCATCTAAACATATCCCTTGTGTAGTGGGAGGCTGATAAGCACCTGTGTAAATCTAATGGGAGAATAAATCTATAATTACAAAGTGTGCATGACATTATATGTTAGTCATTAGTTACGAAAAATGTGTTGCTACCACCATCTTAGTAACTTAGAGCAATCAACAATTGATTGCAAAACTTAAATGCAAACTTCAAAGCTGATTGAAAGTAGAGTATAGTGTATAATGCGAAACAACAGAATCCCAACAAGGATTTTGAGATAGAACTACTACTGTACGAAGCAATTTTGTATTGCGGGAGGGGCTGATTTGTCAGTGGCGATCACCAGTTCATTATTTCCCTCTTAAACTTTACAGATTATTACCAGTTTACAAATTATTGGGGGGGGTAATTGGATGAAGTCCTCCAGCACAACCCACAGTGTCTACAGCCCTGAGAACTTAGGGTTCAAACTATTCTCTGGTAAATGAAACACAATTTTACACATCAAGGTTTCAGCAATTGGTATGACAAATAATGACTTCGTTATCAAATCTGCTAATGTTGAATGCCTCTTGTTATTAATTAAATTTTTAGGAAGACATCCAGACTATGATTATAAGCCTTAGGCCTTAACAACTTTTCTACTTTTCAGTAATTTACCAATAACTTTAGCGATACTCAAGTGTCAAAAAATCATTTTTTTATGTTCTGACCATTTTCCGACGGCCCCGACATATCATTAACTTGAACAGCACAAAATACAGTTCGTCCAACTCCCCCCCTGGAATAGTATTTGCTTATTACTATTTCAGGGGGTGTAATATTTTAATCAAATAATATAAACATGTACAAATAAAGCAAATTACTGTGAAACATTGCTATTGAAGTATAAACCTTTTGAGCTTTCAGCATTACGTGATGTAAGGACATTTGAAAGGTAAGATTAAAATTATTAAAATTCATTTTATAATTTTGTTTTATCTTTTACTATGAGGCAGAGGGACTGATTTATAGACCAGGACTTAAATATATAAATCCAAAATCAAAACATAGTCATTTCATTATTTTTTAAGGTTGGTATTTTCAATATTATTTACAATGTAAAATAATAAACGCACTACGGTGAAGTGGACTGGGTCACTGGGATGCAGGCTAGCGCTGAAATGGTATAACTCCGACATTTTACATTTACTACGATGGAAATTGAAATAGCGCTCCTAAATATTAAAAATAAGAAAACCCTTAGGAAGCAAAATTTACAAAATATAAAACAACGGATTAGGGTCAGTGTTGTATAGTGATTGCACTGATTTTCATGAACGTAGCAAAGCATCTGTCATTGGGGGAGGGGTGGGGGTGCCTGAGAATTTTACCTGAAATCTGAACTTCAATGTTAAAAATCTACCTGAAGTGTAATAATTCCACTGTCATGCTAAGTTCCCTAAGAAAAAGGGGTGTGGGGGTCCTCCTTCAGAAAATGTTTACATTTTTGAAGCTCCAGAACTGAATTTCTGGAGTTTTCTAAACCACATTTACAAACAAATTGGATTTAAATTGACTGTATCAAAAATGGTTATCATTTCACAAAAATACCAACTTTATTATGCAAATTTAACCTGAAAATGTCAAGATTTATACTTGATTTTGTGGGGTTTACACCCCACACTCCCTGTCGCTATGTCCCTGCTGATCTTTATAGATCAGATATTATTTACATCTGGACTGGATATCCAAAAATAAACTGCACCTAACAGTTGCATTTTTCGCAGCTGTTCCTGGTTAGGTCTTATAATGAATGTAAATACATTTTCACTCAATTATTTCCATCTAGAAGATTAATATTCAACTGTACATAAACAGACTGAGCTTCCATTGCACTGTGTGTGAAATTGCATGTGGTGGGAAACAATCCTTGAATCGGCAATAGATCTCAATAATAGCACCCGTTAATTTGCAGTCGGTGCGATGCCAGTGACCATTAATTTAAAGACTATAGTGATATAAAATATACCTGCAGCAAGTTGATAGGGCAGTTGTAGTATAATATAACAGCAATGGGCTTGCTTCTTAATTTACCCACATAATGATATATTAAAATTCAAGATCTGTGCAAGCACATTTGATTATAAACAGTATTATAAACTCACTATAAAGCTTTATATGAAGCGTGATCAAAATATCTTTGACTAAAAGCAAAGTCCAGACTATAGCAGACATGAATAGCAATGACATGACAGATTCACAAATTATAAACATAAATATCGATTGAAATAACAAAAATTAACTTACCGTTTGCTGTGAAAAATTCCTTCGAGTATTTCTACCAGCGTTTATACCAACTGTAATTTTGCTAAGTGAGGCATCTCCACTTCCAATTCTTCCAGTATTAAAGTTGTTAAATACCTTTTCTGATGCCATGAACATTGAACGACAGTTTCCGAAGTAAAGTCGACAATCCCCGTCATAACTTCACATAGTCTTACAATTTTAGCGCTACATTGTGGCTAGCCCGCGAACGGGCTAGCCACAAAAATTCCTCAGTTACCTAATAGTCGTTTCCGATTGGTCCGTTCTGCAAGACATGTTTCAAATCATCTCACACCTCGCCGACAGTCGTGACCTTCGGAAATTTTGAACCAAGAAGAGAAAAGTTGTCGCTGTTGAGTCTCTTACTGAATACTGAGCAAGCGTTTGAAATATGTATATATGATCATCAAGAAGAGCTCACTCGTAGAGCTATCATGCCTTCAATAAACAAGTGCTCAATTCGAATTAATAACCTAGTGTACGCGTTCCTTTATGGTACTTCAAGAATATTTTGAAAGCTGAGGTTAGCGATCACCATGGGAAAACGCGTATCAAGGTAAAGTTCTCTATGATTACATCTGTTAAACCATTTATCTGACTAATAGGGGCACCGCAAAACAACGGCCTGATAGACCGCTCAATGGTTTGTGTTGGCTTATTTGCGCACAATTTAGTACAGGAGTTTCAAATCAGAAACAGAATTGGGCTTGATTTTATTATTTGGATTGAGGTCTAGTTTAAGCAGCTTCCCGGAACTTACTGTTTAGTCTATTCCGAAGTTGGCGGTCCAGTTAAGCGTCGTGTAAAAACGAACATATTTTGGGATTTTAAGTTCGAGAACATGTGCGCGCCATCTGTTTCAAGGCGTTATTGATTAAGCTGCGTCAAGTTATGGGGCTACAGCTTGTGAATATAAAGTGAACTAAAATGATTGTAAAATTTTATGCACTTGAGATATGTAAAAAAAATTGTTCAATGAACCTTGTTTCATATTTTGAACTTATCCGCCAAACGTCCGTCCAACCTTATTGAAATATTATACTTGACACTCGTGTGAATAGGCAATATATCTCCTTGTTGAAAAGATTAATAGAGATGTTTAGTCAGCAAGATGACTGGATATTAATAGATATCCCATTCAATTCATCCGACAAGGTACAGTATATGCAGTAATAAAACCTAGATGTGTATTTCTGCATCTTATACTCGACTGAAATTAATTAACGCATGTAGGTTGTCTTTTAGAATAATTCTCAGACATTGCCACTGAATTCAATTGATAAAATCTTATACCAGTCAAACTCTGTGTTTCTATTTCAGCTACTGGAGTTGTTGCTCCGCTGAAAAGTAAAGAGGAACGGTTTGTGTTTGGTTTCATCTGATGATAAAGATTTTGTGTGCAAACCGAAACTCAGTGAATTATTGATGAAGGATATAATCCGGAGCATTGTCTGAATTTAATCTCATGCAGAAGTCGTTCTCAATGTGCCAGGAACTCTGATGTTGTACTGTATAACTATTAAATAAGTTGTATATTTTACAGTGAAATAACCTTTTATTTATAAATTTTCATTTACATTGCGAAATTATTATCATACAAGATTCAGAAATTCTGACCCTCCTTTGTTACTGACGTAAACGTATGCATTTTTGACTATTTCGAATACACACGTTCATTGGGGTGTCATAAATTCTGAAGCTTTCATGTTAAAGCTTTGCTTTTTGAGTGAGATATTGCGGAATTACTGTTATACAAGGTTCGGAAATTCTGACCCTCCTTCTTGCTGATTTATAAACATTCGCGTATTTTACTTTTTCTTTACGTATATATATATATATATATATATATATATATATATATATATATATATATATATATATATATATATATATATATATATATATATATATATATATATATATATACAGGGTGTATCAAAAAAAGCGCAATCCTCGACTGAAATGTAAATTGCTAAACAAATAATAGACGAAAACGTTAAAGTCTACATTCATTTTAAAGCGTAGCCATTCAGCTTTCTAACAGTAGGTTGTTTCTTAAATTTGACTCATTGGTTCGCGGGTAATAATACTTTACGTTATTGCGATTGGAGATTAAAAAAATTGAGATGGAATAACAAATCGTTCTCATGAAAATAACTGATTTTTTCAATAAAACAAAAAAATGTTGCACTTTAATAAATGGATTGTAAAAATAAGTATAATTACGGCTTTTCTTCCACTATTTTTAACACAGTTTGAAACTTCAAATGCGATATAATTTTGGCTTGGACCATCTAAGCTGACTGACATCACTTGCTATAATTTCTGTTTACATTACATCGCAATTCGATGACACTGGCTCAGACACCAGAATGTTTTGATTCTATAATTTTTAGCATTCGTGTAGGATTTTCAAACAACCTAGTCTCTTTTAAAATACTTTTAATTTGTTCTTACGTGGTTTTCCAGATGTAGTGACGACAACATTAAAGTTTAAAGAAGAAAATTCTAACATTTAAACCGATTAAACAATAACATAGTAAACTTGCATAATTAAACAGCAACTAAAAATGATAGGTTTTACTAAATCTTTTCCTGTGCAATTATTACTAGCATTGGAGACAAGGATAATAGTTTGTTTGAAAGAGAAAAAAACAGGCTTTGAAGTAAGCCTAAAAGCATTGAACTAGAAATAGTATTTCGAAAGTTATTGAGCACAAAAGATGAATTGCGTTTATTTTGATACACCCTATATATATATATATATATATATATATATATATATATATATATATATATATATATATATATATATATATATATATATATATATATATATATATATATATATATATATATATATATATATATAGTTTTTCGTTTTACCTCAAAAAACCACAACAGTCTGTTTCATCCGTATAGGAATCATCAGGTGGACTCCTATACCGTGGACTCCTATACGGAATCATCAGGTGGACTCCTATGATTCCTATACGGATGAAACAGACTGTTGTGGTTTTTTGAGTTAAAACGAAAAACTATATATATTACGCTCTATCTATATGGTATTGAGCACTGTTTGTGTTTCGTAAACCAAAATCTTAAGATATATATATATATATATATATATATATATATAT